GTATGTTCAACATATATAAATACAGTGGAACCTGTCTAAATTGACCACCCTCGGGACCAAGTCAAATGGTCACTATATAGAGGTGGTCACTTTATGAAGAGTCTTTAAAAAGGACTCTTTAAATAAAACTTGCAGAAAATGGTCACCTTACTCAGATTCTCACTTTACCCAGGTGGTCACTTTTACAGGTTCCACTGTATTTTCAGTATTGTCTCATAAATGGTACTGCATATACTTGAATGGTATCCCGTTTATTCCTTTTAAGCTGCTATTTTATGCAATATGCCAGTAATTTCTGAAAATATTGATCAGACACGCTAGAGCGTCAATGGCACTCACGAAGGCAGGTTGAATCTGTGTGCCACTGACGCTCCAGAGCGTCGGAAAGAAAGGCTCTCTAAACAGGAAAATAATATATTTCTTCGTTTTTCTGATTTTTCTAGTAAAATATAAGGAACATTTAAACCATTAAAACTCTGTTTTGTAATCCAGCTTCTGAGGATGGAAATGTGGCAGCGAATGTGTTAAGCTTATGTTAAATCTGTAGCTTATCTTAAGCTTATGTTAAATCTGTTTTTATTACTAATTTTTAGAAATTTATGCAGGGATTGGGAGTGTTAAAATTTCCACAGTGGTTGTAAACTTTAGAACATAAATATGTTCTTATTTATCATTTTATCAAATTTAGCATCAAATATTCCTGGTTACCATAATAATTTGACATCTTATTACATTTATAAATGAAAGTTATTTAAATTGATGTGGTTGCTTAATTAAGAAAATTTCCTCTTGCTTTTATGAATAGTTTGCTGATATTTAAATATTTTGGGAATCTTTTGAGAGCTCTGTGCATATTATATACATATTTTAATAAATACATATATTTATAATTAATTTGTTAACAACATTTTGTACATTAAATATTGAAATCAGAATTAAAAGCTCATTAATGGCAATAGAAATTTTCTCCTAAAAAAATCGTATTGATTTCTTTTTTCCTTGTGTGAATATGAATTGTGCAACTCTTTTTATTAAAGATCCAAATTCTTGTCTTTAATCAAAATTTAAATACATTAAATTAATTGATTTTTGTTCAAGTATTCTATTTAGTTGATTTTTTTTCCAACTTTTAATCTCTATTGCTTTTTGACTTATGTTCAATGTATTTAAAAATGTAATGAAAAAACATTTAAATGAGATTTACAGTAGAAAATATTTATAATGCAAATTTTGAAGCATAAGGTTTTGCATTATATGGAATTGGTGTTATATAGATCATCTAATGTATCATTAAACTTCTATATTAAGCATTGCTATGTTTATCTGGAGCTGGTCATTATTATTTTCAAACATAATAATAATAAAAAAAATTAACTTTCCATGAGCATTAAAACTCAAATTTGCGATTTGCGAATTTTGATTTACTTTAGAGATTGTAAAGTCAATGCTGTTTATAGAGAATTGTGTTACTTAAATCTCTTAATTACTGTTTCAAGTTAATATTATTTATTATCATTAATCTCTTTGTAAAATAGAAAATTTGTGTTTTATAGATAATTTCATGTATCATTAAACTTCTACATTAAGCATTGCTATGTTTATCTGGAACAGGTCATTATTATTTTCGAAATAATAATAATAAAATTAACCTACCATGAATTAAAACTCAATGCATTAAAACTTAAATCTTTTACCATGCTGCATTATAACCCAAATTTATCAATTTTGATTTGCTTAAGAGATTGTAAAGTCAATACGGTTTGCAGAGAATTGTGTTATTTAAATCTCTTTACTGTAAAGTAGTAGTACTTTACAGTAAAGAGATAACTTTACTTTTTCAAATAAATATTATTATTATCATTAATCTCTTTGACAAATAGAGAATTTGTGTTATATAGATAATTTCATGTATCTTTAAACTTCTACATTAAGAATTGCTATGTTTATCTGGAACAGGTAATTATTATTTTCAACAAAAAAAAAAGAAAATAGTAATAATAAGATTTAGCTTACCATAAGCATTAAAACTTAAATTATCAATTTTGGTTTGCTTCGGAGATTGTAAAGTCAATGCTGTTCATATAGAATTGTGTTATTGAAATCTCTTTACTGTAAATATTTATATAGTTTCTAAACTTTGTTTCTAACTAAGTTCCTAAACTTTGAAATTTTAGGTATGATGATTGAAAGCATGGCTGGCAAAGCAGGAGCCATGGAAGGAACAATTCATGATGCCACCCCATTTCAGTTTTCAGAAACTGACACGGCTGCCCATTATTTTGGAGAACGTTTAAAAAAAGGTCACTATTTGCAATTTTAATCATTATTTTGTATGGGAAATTTTAGATTGATTTCTCTTTTTAATGATGCATTAGAAAGGCTGCCACTTTCACCATCTGCAAACTAAGAAAGTTGATAGTAATTATGAAAAAGATGGAAACTCAGAATTGATTCTTTTGGGATGTTAAGTTGGTTTATTTTGTTTTCTACAACAAGAGCATTCATAAATGTCCCTTGATGTAATAAACAAAGGGAGAAGAACATTCTCAGAGAATTGAAACTAACTTTCAAGTTAAGTTACGAAGACTTAATAATGTATAATACGTTTGAAAATTTTATAAGTCTTCACAATAAATTTGTTGTATTGAAAAGTTTTTTCAATAATAACTATTATATTTTTTCTCTATTTATTAAACGATCATCAAACGGATAATATCAGAAAATTTGTTGTAAATATTTTCATTGTAGTATTTGTAAGAGAAAGCCATCAGAGCAACTATGAAATGTTTATAGAAATTAATTAGTATTTAGATGTTTAAATGGTAGCTGTCATGTTGTTTCCAAAAGTTGAAAATGTGTATGTTTTTGCATACATTTTATTCAATATTTTTCTTCACTTTATTTATTTTTAATTATGTTTTGTCTTAATTTAACAGTTGGATTTGACTATTATGGCACTGAGAGGATGTACAGTGGAGTTGATGGTCGAGAACTCGAAGCTGATATATTCTTTGGTGTAATATACTATCAAAGGTTGAGACACATGGTTGCAGACAAATATCAAGTAAATATTGCTTATCATTAATCTCTTAGACAATCAAGACTGAGGTTAAGGCAAGCTCTTAAAAGTGCCAAAATTGTTTCAGCTTTTTTTTGTACCTTTTCTGCATCCTGAATTCGTTTTAACCATTACTTTCAAAATTCATTTGTAAATGTATTTTTCTGATAGCTAACAGTATATATGAGAGGTAGATAAATTTTATTCATTTGTTATTAATTAATACTGTATAACATTGAAGATCCAGAATTCTAAATTCTGGAAACTTCAGAAAAAAAAGTTTGAGTAAAATAATTATATGGCTGTTATAGTTTAAGAAGCTGCAGTCAGCAAAGGAGCCTGATCTCTTGTATGATATAATTTTATACTCACTGATATGTACCAATGTTCTCAATGAATTCATTACATTAGTCATTCTTTTTTCAACACCAGCTCTTAATATAAAAATCTATGTTCTTAATTTTAGAATTTATTGTATCTATATGTTGTATTGTAAACATGAAGTTTTTGAAGAGCAAGTTTTTTAGTTTAAAAATTGCCATGTTATTAACTAATTTAACTTCCATTCCTGTTTGCTTTGTTTTTTTTTATTAAAAATAAGTTTTGTAAAAAATTTATTATTAGGTTCGTTCCACTGGACCTGTTGATCCTCTGACTCGTCAACCAGTGAAGGGTCGAAAGAGGGATGGTGGTATCAGATTTGGTGAAATGGAAAGAGATGCCTTAATTGCAAGTGGTGCATCAGTACTCCTATATGACAGATTTGCAGAATGTTCTGACCTTGTTCAGGTAAAAGAAATATTGATCATTATTTGCTAGTTACTTATTATTAGTTTTTTTTCTTCCTTTTTTTGAAAAATATTTTTTTGTTTTTTATTAATTGTGATTTTTTTTTTCTCCTTTATTTTATTAATTGTTTATTATCTTCTCTGTGTATCCTGTATTTTCTTTTCCTAACACTTTAAATATCCTATATATGTTTAAATTTCAATAATGTTAATAAGAATTTTATTTTGCCATATTAGTTTCCATCTTTGTATTATTCAAGAAATTAATACTACTTTTTAACAGCTGTGGCAAGTAATAAAATTCGTCGGAGAGCAAAATGCACAATTAGCCAACTCAAATTTGCTTTAAAACACCTCAGATTTTTTTTAAATATTAGAAACAAAAATTTACTGAAAAAAGAAATCAGTTGGTTAACCTGTTGTCATGTTAAGTGAAGTGTGGTTTTACAACTTTGTGTGAGGGACAGTTTTTGCCCCCTCCCACTTGGTAATTTCCATGCCTTTCATTATCTTTTTTATCTCAAAATGTATTGGTATTTTAATCACAAAGTTTATTTATCTCAAAATGTATTGGTATTTTAATCACAAAGTTTATTTATATTCCCGAAAGTATTTTCCCTTCTTTGTATTTGCAAAATTATTTAAGTGTTTTTTTTTTTTTTAAAGTTATGATTTAAAAATTTTACTAACCCTGTTTTTAAAAAAAATGTTCAAGGCCATTTCTCACTCCCGTGAAAATGACGGGGTGAGGTTTTGCCCTTTATTTCTCGCTCCCGTGATATTTCCGGGCTGAAGTGTTCAGTAGTAACGCGCCAATAAGAATAAAACCAATTTATTTCTCTTGTCCGGAAAACATTTTGTTTCTCATTTTACACACCAGATGGCGGTACCAGGATATTTTTAAGGTAATTGTAGATAGTTAGTTTATTTTAAACTAGATGACAGCACTAATCAAATAGCACTAATAAAAAAATAGGCGCTATTATGACCGTTTTCTAGAAAATTAACTGATCATTAAGGGGTTAATGCCAATTTATAAGCAGAAAATATTAAGTTAAAATTTTATGAACATAATTTTTTCAATATTTTATGTTCTTATATTTAGTATAAAAATATCCTTAAAATTTGTATGTGTAAAAAGTTTATGTATTATACAATAATTTGCATAAATTTAGTGTCACTTTTATTTGTTAAGATATGCCAATTTGAGAAGACATAACATATTCTTTTTCTAGCGAAACTGATGTACAGTCTAACATTTTATTACATGTTATGAAATAAAGATAATTGTTATTTGCTTTTTTAAACATATCCGGAAAAATAATTTTTTCTTCTTTCAAAATATTCATGCATTTTATTACATGTTATGTATTGTTATTTATGTATTGAAGTGTGTCTGGAAAAATAATTTTTTCTTCTCCTTTCAGCAATATGCTTGTATGAAGTGTGAAAATGCATTATCGCCGATCTATGATCATCAAGAAAGAATGATCACAAATGTAGAATATACAGCACGTGAATGGACCTGCACAATATGTGGCACTAACAAACACGTGACATTGATCGACCTTCCATATGTGTATCGTTATCTATTTTCAGAACTTGCTGCAGTCAATGTTAAAATCCGCCTAAAAATAGGAGACTTTCTATAGGATGTGGTTTCTAAATTAATTCAACTTCTTTGTTCGTCAAAAGAGTCATATTTTGTACATCTGATGTACTATTTTTGTTGTAAATAAATGGACTAATGATTTTATACCTTTCCTCTAGAAACTCTTCATCAAAATGCATATTTTTTGTGTAAATGATGAAAAATATTTTGAACTATAAGTGGACATCCCCTGAAATAGCCGCATTTAAGTGTCGTGGCATGCTATGAATATTTTTTTTAATGTAGGAAATTTTTAATGATTTCTAAAATATGTTAAGTTGTAACTAAGCTTTAAATATGTCCTGAAAAACTCAGAACAGTGTGAGTTTCTTGTGTCAGCAACAGTATATTTTCTCTTTTGGAACCAGTCATTCTGTTTGCTTTGCAAACTACAGATTCTTAAGAGAAAGTATTTCTATATATATTAAACCAAGTACAATTGTTTGTGCGTGGACAAATAGTTTTAGAAAAGAATTTTTTTTAATCTGCTTTTACCTACTCTGTCAAAAACAAATCTTCATTCTTAGCGTTTTTAAGATAGAAATTTGGTATAATCTATCACTAAATGTGTCACTTAGCTAACTCAGTTCAGGATTCACTAATTAAAAATGAAAGCTTTGTCATTAAGTCGATGTGATTTTTTTAAATTTCTTTTTATATCTGTAGCTCAGTTTTATTATTTACATTCCTACTATTTATATTGATAAAAAAGCAACATTTTAATGCATTTTATTTCTCACTTTAATTCAACTTCGATGAATTATTCAAAAACTTCACCTCCAGCTAGTTTTTCAATTAGTTGGCTGTGTGAGAAACCAACTGTGTCACACAGCTAACTCAGTTCAGGATTCACTAATTAAAAATTAAAAGCTTTGTCATTAAGTCGATGCTGATTTTTTTTTATCGTATCTGTGGCTCAATTTTTTTTATTTACATTCCTACTATTTATATTGATTTTAAAAAAAACACACACATTTTAAATATATTAACATTTAAAGTACCTACAAAACTGGATTATAAAATCATCATAAAATAATATGTTTAGTGTTTAACTTAGGTGCATTCTATTTTTCTTATTTTTTTTTTCAATTAGTTTGCTGTTTGAGAAACCAACTATGTCACACAGCTAACTCAGTTCAGGATTCACTAATTAAAAGCTTTGTCATTAAGTCGATGCTGTGATTTTTTTTATTTGTTTTTATCATATCTGTGGCTCAATTTTTTTATTTACATTCCTACCATTTATATTGATAAAAAAAATATCTTGAATTAGTCATTGCGGTTGATCCTGTTTTAATCAATGAATTTCATACTCTGACAACGAAATTTTAGCTATTTAAACTATCACTTCTGACTGCACTTTCTCACGTGTGAACCTTTATGCTCCTAAGGTCCAATTTTTAGTTGACTGATTGCAATTTTTCAGCTGATCGCTAACTACCCTATTTATCTCACTGGGAAATTTTGAGCCAAATTACGCTGATCTCTAGCTACCCTATTTATCTCACAGAGAGATTCTGAGTCTAATCACGCTGATCTCTAGCTACCCTATTTATCTCACAGAGATTTTGAGTCAAATCACGCCGATCACTAACTACCCTATTTATCTCACTGGGAGATTTTGAGCCAAATTACGCTGATCTCTAGCTACCCTATTTATCTCACAGAGAGATTTTGAGTCAAATCACGCCGATTGCTAACTATCCTATTTATCTCATTGGGAGATTTTGAACTACATCACGCTACTTTAGAAGCCCAGTCAACGTCGAGAGAGTCAGATCGGTTTCTCGAGTGACTAGTTAAAACACAATAGTAAAAACAAAGATCCCAACCGAATTTTAGCCAGGGTATGCTAACCCTTACTTATAAATCTATAAACCTATTGATCTTGTATCCACTTACAGATCTATGTCTCTAACATTCATTCTGAGTAAAACTTAATGAATAAAATACGAACGAAAATGGCCACAGCTCAGAAACTGTGTCCATTTTCGTAAGCACGCGTTTTAAGCTGTAACAATTTCCATAAACACGCATATAATAAAGAGCTGTGTCCCGATTTAGAATTTTGTTTGCAACTATGGATGATTGACTGAATACAAACAATAACAAGCTTCCTAAAACCGGAAGAAATTTAGAAATCTTCCGGTGTATCCTTCCGCATACAACGCGATGTGTGAAGGGGCATGCATAATATTCTAGGAAATTTTATGATTGTGAATTGTGTTCAAATTTACGCGTTCTTTAACTATACATAAGAGTTTTCTGCAATTTGTGAATTCTAACAGGTCGTGAGCCTGGAACAAATGCAACAAAATTAATACAACAGCATAAATAGGTTAGCCATATAAAAACGCTTATTTGGCTATATTTGTGTAAAATAGCACTGTTTGTTATTTCTTGGGTAGTATCATAGCAAGCTTGCAGAGTCTTCCAAATTTATTAGTTGTTTATTTCATTGAAAGAACGCGCTATATTTTAAACACTTCATGTATAATAATATTGGATAGTGCGTTTTTTTTTCAAGATTAGTCGTGAAAATCAGTCGGAAGTAGTAGTACAAAACCGACCGTGTAAAGCTAAGCACGGATGGCGCCATGGGTTGAAATTCGCAGAAAGACTTCCGGGATACTACTTTCTGCTCATCTTCTCGAAAGTCTTGAAAAAAGGATCGATCAAGTATTATTAAACCTGTAGTGTTTGTAATATAACACGCTCTTTCAATTTAAATTTCAACGAAACAAGCAACATATGAATCTGGAAAACTCCGTAAGCATTCTATGCTATACAAGATGCAACCCAAAGAAAAACTGACAGTAATATTTTACACAAGTATAGCTAAATAAGGGATAACACTCAAAACATGTTGCACTTCATTTATGTTGTGATATTAATTTTCTTCACTTTGTTTTAGACTCATGACCTGCTGGAATTTATAAATTACAGGAAACTCTTATGAATGGTAAAATTACGAGAAAGTTAAAACATAAATCACGTTAACAAAATTTCCTTAAGCCCGTTCACACATCACCTCGTAAGCATAACATAAGCGGAGGGATACACCGGAAGTTTTTTCTAAATTTCTTCCGGTTTTAGGAAGTTTTTATTGTATAAATTCAATCAACCATCCATATGGCCCTGATATTTTTTATGCATCTGGTTATTTTTTGCAAAACCCAAAAGGTTAAAAAAAAATCGGTCTTTTAAAAACAACAAGAACCAGATTTTAAAGATTAAATAATTGTGAAGATAACATAGTTATATACCTACAAGTAGGCTCGATGTTAATATTCATATAAACTTATATGCCTGGTCTTCAATTTCCGTACTCATGTGACACAGACTACATTTCTATTCGGTATTTGACGAGATTTTCTGATTGCCAAATTATTTAATTCGTGGGATAGTGAAAAATTATGTCTTCATCTTTTTTTTATTTACTTATTAAATTATTCATTATTTATTGACTAGAATAAAAGGAAAGAAACAGCTCATTGTGGATAAGGAGTTTATGGAGGTTAAGCTCCTCAATTTTGTTACCTACGGCCTGATTGTGACAATGTGTTCAGCATTGCGCACAAACAGTATCTACTGTCTACAAAAGCTGATGCTCATCGACCTGATGGGCTTCCAGCTACGGCTGGGGATCGAACCCCAGCTCTTCACGACAGGTTAGTGATTTACTCATTGGCAAATCATGGCTCATTTACTGGAATAATTAGGTATAAAATCGTTGCATCTGTAATATTAGTAGAATATAGTGAAAATATTAGGAACAAAAAAAATTTCTATCAAAGCAAATGAAAAACACACTTATTTAGGATTCGGTCAAATTAGGAATTTTATTCTACAAATTAATCATTTTCCGCCTCCCAAAAGTTCACGGCCTCTTTTCTTTCATCACCTCTAGACCTCAGCCAACCCTTCCTTAAGGAAGGAAAGCAGTGTTTGGACGGGTTGCAAATACACTCTATAACAAAAAAATAGACGCACTAAGAAGGAGTTGTCCGATTGAAACGAAAATTGGTGGATAGGAAGACTATGTACAGAATAGTAAATGATTAAAATTTCAGAACAATTGAATGATTTATTGCAGAGTTACAGTAACAGGTTCAATAAGGTGTTGACCCGCCTCTAGCCTGGATACAAACAAGAGCTGCCACACGGCGCGGCATAGACTGATAAAGCTCCCAGATGGTCTCTTGCGGTATTTCCTGCCAAATTCGATCCAATTGTCGAACGAGGTCATCAACATTCCGTGCCAGATGCAATCGCCTTCCCATCATATCCCAGACATGGGAGAGAGATCTGTTGATCTGGCAGACCAAGAAAGAGTTTGACAAGTTTGAAAACAGTTCATAGCAACACGTGCCGTGTGTGGTCTGGCATTGTCCTTCTGAAAAACCAGCCCAGGGAGCTGCAAAAGGAACGGCAGCAAAACAAGTCTTAGGATGTCGTCGACGTACCGCTGTGCAGTAAGTGTACCTCTAATGACGACCAAAGGGGTCCGGCTGTCAAAAGAAATGGCACCCTAGACCATAATGCCTTGTTGAGGGCCGGTGTGGCGTGCTGTAGTGAAGGCAGGATCCCCCCTCTGCCCTGTGCGTCTCCAAACACGTCTTCGATAATCGTCAGGACACAGTTGGAAGCGGGATTCGCCGCTAAAGACTATGCGTCCCCAGCCGGCATCATTTCAGCCTGTTCGAGCCATGCACCACTTTAATCTGGTGCAGGCGTGAGTGGCAGGTGGCCTAACGGTCGCCGCGAGCGTAGATTTCGCTCTCTCAACCGTCTGTGAATGGTCATGGTGGACACTGGTGTTTGGGTTGAACGTCTGATGGTTGATAGAGATGAAGAAGACGCTGTGACAGCTGCTCGGACAATCACTCTGTCCTTACTCTCTGTTGTAGCCCTAGGTCGACCGCTACCATCCTGAAGCTGAACTCTGCCATTTTCCACCCATCCTTACCAGCATCTTCGAATCGCCGCATCGCTTCGACTCAAATGACGAGCGATTCTCTGATTTGTCCAACCAGCCTCTTTCAATTCAATGATACGATCTCTGTCAAACTCTGAAAGTTGCTCGTAATGAGCGCGAATCCTGCAGTGAGGCATTTTTTAAGTTGTTGAAAAGTAATCTGAATCGCAATCTAAATGAAAGTTTTAACAACCGTTGAAGAGCTGCTCCTTATTGCGTCTCCTGGATGCGCAGTTCCGATGCGTCAGAGATCAAACTATTCATTCATTGGACACCAAATTTTAATCATTTGCATATCTGTTCAAAACATTCGTGCATACGAAATTTCAAAGCAATCGGATGATTGCTTCTTGGTGCGTCGATTTTTTTTTTTTGTTATAAAGTGTACTTCCTTTCCTTCGATCTCTTTGAGATCCCAGGTCAACCGCCCCATATCAGTTCCCGAAACCTTGATGTACTAATTACCAGGCTTAGAATTAAATCCGTTCCTACCAATAAGACCATACACACAACCAGTGGCCCCCCCCCCCCCCCAAGCTCTTTGACGCATTCACAATTCACGTCTAAATTCCCCCCAAGCTTTAAGTGGGCGCATCGTGCGCCCACCTCCCCCCTGATGGGGGCCCCTGCACACAACTCATACAAAGCCCTTACTACCCGTACTGCGGAGTTGTGGACGCGAACAATCACTTTCTCCTGGAATGTCCCGCATTTCATAATACTCGTAAGGAGCTGTACCAATCTCCGTATTTCTACAAAGCATCACCGGCTGTGGTACATGTAAGGGTGGGTGACCACTTGGATCAGTCCGCGTAGGGACTGAGGGTGTGTGATATCGGTCCTTGTTAAACTGTTCTACCGAGTGCTCAACTTCGCGTGCAAGTCGTCGGACTACCAAAGCTAGGGTGTATTCCCTCTGCAGAGGATCAAAATTGTGATGGCATGTTTTCGGATCATCCTCAGGGATGTTTCCATGACCATCGCCAATAGCCCATTGTGCAGCTCCAGTGTGACGTAAATTAACTACAACTACAACCATATCTCTTCAGAATTCAGCGATATCGTGACTTGTTTGAAGACCAAACTCCAATTTTTTACTAATTAGTGATCGCAATTATCAGGCATTAATTTGTTAAGTTTTCAGTTAGTTCCATCAGAATCAATGGCAGAGACAGACGCCATTTTCTAAGCAGCAAATAAGAAGCAAAATTTCCCTAAGAAAAGGTCGAAGAACTAGAAAAAACTCTCCAGAACATTGGTACAGTCACTCGAGTGACTGTAAATCTTTCAGAAACAGAACACGCCAAATGTTTGAAGAAAAATTCCTCAATAATTTTAAACTTCTATTATCAACAGCCTTGCTACTGATAACTTCCGATTTCGGATCGCATACTGTTACAGATGTTTGTATTACGGTAAAATAAATTTTTTCGTTCTTCAATTCATTACAAATTAAAGTGAAGTCAACATTGCTTTCTACATTCAAATGAAAAAATGGGAATTCATATCGTACAAAACTGTAATAGTTATAATAGAATATTCTTCATATTTATAGAATAGTATATATTTCTGTATCTATATAATTCGAAAAACAACAATAAAGAATTATCTGAATTACTTGAAATAGTATCATTTGTGCTGATTATTAATAAATTTTTATCGTTTTCTTGATATATTATTTAGTTTTGAAAGAATAATTTCAACTAGAATTCAGCTAATCTGTTTTTAAGCTACATATTAAAATTCATATCGAGATCTTACAATTATAAGATTTTGCTGTGTGGTATGTTATCTAAAAGTAATAAAGGGATAGTCTGTGCCTACATATTATTTGAAAATTAAATTTTCAAACAAAGATCATTTAATATGGAATTCTCCGGATTTATAATGCAGGTGTTCCAGACGCAACTGCGTGAACGCAGACGCAGTGATTATTTATTATATTATTTATTTTATATATTTCTTACATTATTCTTTTGTTGGCAACATGTATATATTCTTTGTGTACACTTGTGATAGTAAAAGAGTTTGTTCTATAAGATACTTGTTTAGTGTTGATTGTAATTAGAAAACATTTACGTTTACAACCAACACAGCAGGTCAGTGTCATGATTTTTATAATAAAGATCGTTTTTTTTTTATCCAAACAATTCGTTATTTTACATTTTTTAGTTTATAATTTTTTGATAAAAATTGTTGTCAAAAAACTTTTTTTACAAAATTAAATTATATAAAATTATAAGGCTTAAAATATATAATTTTATATATACATAATTATGAATACTTTTTGCTTATTGTAATGTTGAAAGTATTATGACTCTTTAAACTGTGGAATCTGAAGTTTAAATAGGCCTTTCATGTTATATCATTAAATTTAGTAAAACTATTTCTCAGGCATTAGGTTTTAACTCAAATAAGAAGATACATATCTTTTTTCTGTTTATTTACAAATATTTTTCCGATGTGCTTTGGATGTTCCTTCTCTAAAAAAACCCATTTTGTTTTCGTTTACATAAGAAAGAATATCAAACATTTTTCTTTTTTAAGTTTAATAAGCCACAATAATGAAATAATGATACACGCTACATTAAAGACGTATCCAGAGTAACTGAATGAATCGCAGGTATTCGTCTCATACAGCAACGCCCTCTATAGTTTATTGCGGCAGCAACTTTTTGCTATCTATCTAGCCTCAAAATAAGAATACAAAGCTATAAGCTAACGCAAGGAGATCGTCACAATATTCTACATACAAGCATGCTTTTTTGATTATTTGCTTACTCGCTGTTTGCTACAAAAGTATTAGTTATATAAAATGCATATTTATTTTGTTAATTCTGCTGAATAGCCGTGTTCATGTAGCTTATTTAAAGTTGACTCGGAGAGTAGATTAATCTTATTTCTGCAGTATGTGTGATAAAAAATTCCCTCAGAAATTCTACTTAAAAGAACAATCTTCTGTTCATACTGTTAATAAACCTTATCCATGCAGTGAGAGTGATAAATCTAGTTTAAATAAGCACTTTGATATGTATAGTGGAGAAACGAATTATTTATGCAGTGTGTGCGATAAAAAATTCGCTAGTAAAAGTTCTTTAAAACAGCATTATCTTATTCATACTGGAGAGAAACCATACAAATGTAGTTTGTGTGACAAATCTTTTTCTCGCAAAGGTTTGTTAAAAAAGCACACTCTTGTTCATACTGGAAAAAAACCTTTTCCTTGCCATGTATGTGACAAAACATTCCTACATAAAACTAGTTTAACAAATCATATTCTTATTCATACTGGAGAAAATCCGTTTTCTTGCCATGTGTGTGATAAATCTTTCTTTGATCAATATACTTTAAATAAACATTTTGTAATTCATAGTGGAGAAAAGAATTATTTATGCAGTGTGTGTGATAAAACGTTCGCCCGTAAAAGTTATTTAAATCAACACTATCTTGTCCATACTGGAGAGAAAGCATACTCATGTAGTTGGTGTGACAAATCTTTTTCTCGCAAAGCTTTGCTAAAAAGACACATTCCTGTTCATACTGGAGAAAAACCTTTTTCTTGCGATGTATGTGACAAAACATTCTTACATAAAATTAGTTTGACAAGTCATTTCCATATTCATACTGGAGAAAAACCTTACTCGTGTAGTGTCTGTCATAAATCTTTCACTCATCGAAGAAGTTTAGATCGTCACTCTCTTGTTCATACGGATGAAAGGCCTTATTCATGTAGTGTGTGCGATAAATCTTACAAGAGTAAAGATCATTTAAATAATCATAGTCTTGTTCATACAGGTGAAAAACCTCATTCATGTAACATATGTGGTAAAGCTTTCGCACAGAAATATAAATTAAATCAACACTATCGTATACATAGCAATCATGGCACAGAAATAAATCATTCGCGCAGAACCAAAACTGTCTTAAAAAGACGCTCTCTGCGTCCTACTGAAAAAGAATCATACAAGTGCACTGTCTGTGACAAATCTTTTGTATACAAATCTAGTTTAAAAGAACATCATTTTATACATACTGGAGAAAGACCTTATTTGTGTGATGTATGCAATAAATCTTTCAGACACAAAGCTAGTTTACAGACACACTATCTCATGCATGCGGGAAAGAAACGTCATTTTTGTGATTTGTGTGGTAAAACATTCTTATTAAAGGGTAATTTAAAAACACATTATCTTGTGCATAGTGGAGAAAAAAATTATTCATGCAATGTATGTGGTAAAGCATTTTCACAGAAAACTCATTTAGATGGACATTTGCGGGTACATACTCAAGAAAAACCTTATACGTGCAGTATGTGTGATAAATCTTTCACGCTCAGATCTAGTTTAAATAAACACTATCTTATTCATACTGGAGAGAATCTTTATGTGTGATAAATCCTTCAGGTATAAAGTTAGTTTAAATAAACACTGTCTCATTCATGCTATAGAGAAACCTTATTAATTCATTTTGTGCAACAGAACATTCTCAAAAAAAGTTATTTTAAATAATGAGCTCATTTATATTGTAATAAAGCTTTATTTATGCAATGTGTAATGAATTATTTTTGCAGATAACTAAAAATGAACATTCTTGTGTGGAAACTTCTTTGAAGTTTCTAATTGGAGAAAAAATTTATATTATAGTGTGTTAGATTAATTTTTCACTCATAAAATAAGACTATATTTTGTTTCATACTGGAAAAAAAACTTTATGCAATGTGCATGATAAATCTTTGAAGCTAATTGTTTATAATAGAAAAACACCTTTTTTATGCTGTGTTTGTGATGAACCATTCTCACATAAAGCTAGTTTTGAACAATATCTTGCTATAGTGGACAAAAATTTTATTAATGCAGTTTGTGTTATAAAGCATTCTTGTCTTCAGCTGTCCTGAGTGCGGACGAAGCTGTAAAAGGATTTTTAAGCCCTACTGACTGCCACAAGCTGCATCTTCCATAAAAAAATATTAACATATATTTTGCAAAAACTTAATTTTAAAAAAATAAGCAACTCTCTTTAAATAATATTTTTTTCTAAATGAAATCAGTTTGCAATAATTTTATTTTAAAATTAAAGTTGGAAAGAAAATCTTTATTTAGTTGCTATCAATTTATTCATAAATGATTACAAAATTAAGCAAAAATTATTAGCAGCATATAAAAATTTTGTGGCATTGTGGTTGTCTCTTATCACAGCTCAGTAAGCACTTTTCAAACACTCAAATATCTTTAAGCACTTTTTGACAATTGACGGTTTTAACCGTCATGCCAACAAAAAAACCTTTTGAAATAGTTTTTGATAATTGTCAAAGATCCAACATTTTGGCGTATAGATAAGTATTAACTATTAAGTGTTTTTAAATTAACATACATGTAAAATTATAAGTGTTCCATCATGTTCTTGAATTACTTCATTAAAACAACAAAATAGTTTACAAAATAACATTCACAAAAAATAAGTTTTGAAGCCCTCTGTATACACCAAGTTCGTTTTCCAGTTTTGTATGAATAAAACCGTAATGTGAAACTGTTCTTTTGATTGATGCTCAGCTGTATAAACTTTAATGTTGACCTACTAACCTATTATAACATAATAAAATAACATGTAATTAGGAAATTTATTCTAATAAGCTTAGTAAAAATTGATAGTACAGTACAGAACCCGTTATCCGGAAATCAGAAAACCGGAACGAAATTCGATAAATTTTCCCGCCATTCTTAAAAAAATTTCTTTTTCCCTTATAAGATTTTAGGATTTTTCTTTCTTTTTTGAAAGATGTTTACCTTACCATCATTTTGGAAATAATCATTAGTGTATTACTTCATCGTTTTTTCTTCTTTTTAAGATTATTTCAAAAAAAAAATTTTTTTTAGTTGGATTTAACAATAAAAAAAACGGCTTTTTGTAGTGATTCAGAAAACCGGAAAAATCAGTTATCCGGAATAGCGATGGTCCCGATCGTTCCGGATAATCGGTTCCCTACTGTACCTAATTAAATCCTAGAATTGATTGATTTAAAAAAATTAACTCATTTAAACAAAAAAAATTTTTTTTTGTAAATTATAATTAGTTTTCTTATCAGGGAGTATATTATATTCATGATTTATTGGAAATATTTATGTACATATAAGCAGGAGTGCAGAAAATTCTCAGTCCCTAATATTTCCTCAAAACTAATTTTTTTTTTAAATCGAAATTTCCTCAAAAATTTTAGTTTTTTCTTTCTTCTAGTACAATAACTTTTTAAAAATATTTTTGGAAAGTGAAGTTTATAAAAGAAAAGAAATTTGTTTGATTTTACACAATTCTTGAATAAAAGAGCATATATTATAATTTTTTTAAAATAATTTGAGATCAGACAATTATTGGCGACCACATCAGTTTTACTTAATGTAAAAATCTGTCTAAATTGGGGCATAAAATAATTAAAATCAATACTTAGACTGATAATAATTCATAGTTATTAATCGTAATAGATTAAGAAAACCATTTGTTTAGAAAAATAATGATTTTGGCTATATTTTTTATAAATGATATATAATATAAATTATAATTATAGTAGTATGTAATGCAAGTATTATGCATGATTTAATGTCAAATAAAATGTCCCCAATGTTAATAGAATTTTAAGCAATTACAAAAACTTTATACAATTGGTGGATGGTCCCTTAGGTAAAAATATTTCTCTTAAACTTCTCAATTAATTCTTAAATTTAATGAGTGAAAGAGAGATGGAAATTTTGAGGAGTTTATGAAGCTTTGGGATTCTTAATTGCTTTGGAGACCTATGGGAAAATACACCTGTAGTGAATGGTCCCCAAGTAAAGTTCAAATATTATGGTACTGATCTACAAATAGAATGGCACAAGGCCATTAGCTTGCCAGTTATGAAGACGATTGCGCATCATCAACGATGAAATTAGCAAAAGAAATAAAATTTTCAATAGCTATTAGGGAAAAAAATTTGACTATGTTTAGTTGGTCACTGTAATCAGCTAAAATTCAAGACATTTTTTGGTTTGCTTTCAGAGGATGGAAAATGAAGCCTGAAATTGAGAATCTCGTGCAAAATGCAGCACAGTTGCACATGACAGGGCAAAAATGCTTCACCCAGAATTTAGCTTGGTATACGTAGATGCGAACCTGCAAGTATTTCATCAAATATGTGAAACGAATGGTGTTTCATGCGCTATGACTGACAGTACACCGAAATAGATTGGGGTTGAATTAATTGTGAAAACGTTAAATAGCATAATTCGTGGCAAAAATTAACATTGTAAAGAATAAATATCTCATTTTGGAAAAGGGAATATTAAGCACTTTTAATGAAAAATGCACCTTTAATGGCTTTTAAAAAACGAAAATTGAAAATAGCACCTTTAAGAAACACTACACACCTTGTCAAATAACAAAACACGAAAAAATATCAAAGTAAAAAATATTAACAAAATAATTGTGAGTGGATCTTATTAGGAAAGCTCTTTTTGACGATTTCTGAAAGAGATAGACAATCTTGTGTTACAGTCCCCACTAGGAAAACTTCACGGGGAAAAATTGAAATAGCTCGCGAAAAATTATGTTTCTTCGAGTCAATGGAGGTAACCCCTAAGAATGACCAGCCTCCATTAACGACAATTTCACTGTGGAACAGAGTGGTCGCTCCTGATAGGTTTCACTATTGATATTGCATAACTGTGAAATCAAAGTAACTGAAATTTAAGAAGCTATTATTCCTTAAAAATGGACACAGATCAAAATACATGTTTAATAAAAAAGACACCATTTGATTCCGTTTTTTCAAGTTTTCTCATAAAAATTATTCTTTTAGGAATTAACTAATTCACCATATTATAACATCCATTTGCCAAAATCATTTATTCTTATTATTTTTTTTAAAGATATTAAAAGTCAACAGTTTTTTGTTACAAGCTTATCAGGGGTTGAATTTAGATTTTTCTAATGGGAAAACAAATATCACTTTTTATAAAAGAAAAATCTTTTTCATTTTTTTACTTTGATTTCTAGAAATTCTTAAAATTACTTCGTTAAAATGGAAAAAAATTAACTGATTTTATTGAATTAGAAAAAGTATGATTTTACAAAAGGGTATGTACTGATTTTCTATAATTAAAATACATTTTACACTTTTTCCCTCTTGAAACACGTATATTGTTTGGTGGAACTTTTTTTTCTTTTTTGAAGGTTTTGTTTTTTTAAAAACTAATTTTTGCAACATTATGTATTTTGTAATAACTTTCAATTCTTTTTATTTTGAGAATCAGATTTTATTTTCAGATGATAGTGAAACGGTATCTATTATCTGATTATTATTAACAGGTTCTCAAAAGAAAAAAAATTTAAAAAGTAAATGACAATTAAAGAAAAAAAATTTTTTTTATCTTCTAAATTTAATTTGAATAGAAATTTCTAATAAAAAGGAACCAGACATTTTATTACTATGTACTAATACCCAGGGTTTATGGCTTACACCTTTTTCGAAATTTAGTCATTTTATGGAAACGAAACGCAATTTACAATTTTACATTATCAATATAAAATCAAATAATCCATTCTAATCAATAATCTATCTTTAGTACATGTAGATGAAAATAGAAATCAACAAATATTTATTATTTGCTTAAAATAAGTTTAAAAAAAGAAATGCGTTAGTATATTTATAAAAATTGATATTTTTAGAATCAAAGGCATTTTGATATAACATAAAAAATATGATATTTAGATTTTATGTGTTTTGAAGAAAGGCCTGCAATGAACATTACACTGGGCTCATAAAATCCTGTGTCTAGCCTTGAGTATTAGAAATTGCATGGATGGTCTTTGGGAAGGACGGTATGCATATATCCCCTCAATAATTAAAAATCTTTTTAAGTCCCATCAATATTTCAAATAAGGAATATTTTCATGAATTATTGATTTAAACTCATGAAAGGTAAAAGAAGGAACAGAACATCTTTTTGCATATGTGTAGCAAATTTAATAATTTTTTTAGTATGAAATTTAGAAAACTAGTGTGTGTATTTTAATTTAGATGCCAGCAAGAAATCAAGATACTGTTAAAGTATAAGCAGTGGTAGTAAAATATTGAGAGTTACTGAATATTTTAATGAGAAATGTAAAAAGGTATATTGTGTAAATGCTATTTATTTTACTTATAAAACAAGTTACTTTTTCACTAAATTTTTTTTCTGTAATATTCCAACCAAGTTTTTTTCCTGTCCCAATCAAAGTAAACTGACACAATGAAACTTCAGTTTTCCAGCAGCTGAATACACCAATAAAAACTACAACTTCTGTTTTTAAAATTATTTTTAAGAGTTTGCAGCTAGAAGTTGCTAACTAAACTTAAAGGATATTTTTCAGTCAGTTCATACTACTGATGTCATAGTTATGTATAATGTGTATTTATAGGATACTATATTGAAATTATATATTTTTATTATAGTGAAATTATTAAGGAGTCAAAACAAAACAAAAGACATGGAAGACAAAACAATTACAAAAATATCCATTTTTAAATCATTACAAAATCCAACAATCATAAAGTTTTAAAAATTCAACAACAACAAGCATATATTAATTTCAATTATAAAAAATAGATTAATTCCTTACATTACAATTAATTTCAACAATTATAAATTTTTACAAATTGAATTTAGCAGTACCTTCTGTAAAGGACAACCACAAATAAGGCACACTCTCTATTCAAAAGATCCTCTATTTAAGGAATACTGAAAAATGGTTAAAGACGTTTTTAAGTCGGTTAGTGGAGTTGGCCATTTATTGGAATCAAAACCTTCAAGTGACAAAAGAATCACATTTAATGGTAGGTACTGTACTATGATTAAGTTGCTTGGAAGAATATATAAGGGTGCATAGCCAGATTTTTTAACAAAAAATAAGCACCTTTTAAGCAGTCAAAAAATATTTTTAATCACTTAAAAAAAAAAAATCATAATTAGGATCTGTGAAATAATAAAAATAATTTCCTTCTATCTTTTAAGTTCTTAATTTATGAATATAAAATCAATAAAATTCAAAAATATTTTCACAAACTTAACATAATCATGATAAAATAACTAGTTTCTGATAAATATCGTAGAGAAAATCGTGCATTTTTTGTAATTTAAAACAATAAAAAGGCAAAGAAAAATATCTTTTTAAAAGATAGAAAATTTAGCACTTTTTACAAACCCCGAATATAAAAAGGAATCTTTAAGGGCTTTTAAAAAATGTAAATCAAAAATAAGCACTTTTTAAAAACGCGAGACACCTTGGAATATTAGATAGTGTCAGTAATTAATTACAAAAGGAGACATGCTCCCATGTTCTTTGTTTATTGGTAGTAGGAATAAAATTGGTCTCCACTTTTCTATCCGCTTGATAAAATGTTGTTTTAAAACATAATCATGATAAAATAATTAGTCTCTGTTAAATACTGCAGAGAAAATTGTGAAAATCATGCATTTTTTTGTAATTTAGAACGACAATCAAAATAGCAAACAAAAATCTCTTTTTTAAAGATAGAAAATTGAGCACTTTTTAAAAAACCTTGAATAAAAAAAGCACCTTTAAGGGCTTTTAAAAAACAAAATAAAAATAAGTGCCTTTAAGCATTTTTAAGAAGCGCTACGCACCCTGTATATACTTATTAAACAGGAAACAGACATATTAGAAACAATTAAAAAAATGAATGTTACTTTTGAATGAACATAAATAAGATAAATTCTGTTATTTTTTTTCATCATGTTTCAAATTATTTACCATCAATACATTCAATTTTTTAGTTATACAGTATAGACAACAAAATTTTTTTCATAAGAACTTAAATTGCTATTACCAACGTTAATTTAATAAAATAACAAATTAAACAAAGAAATTTTTAAAAAAAAATAGTTGATTAGAATACCGTTTTAAAACCTTGTTGCTATGAGCATAACTGAGATTTAATGAAGAATTTTCCCCTAATGCTAGAAAAAAGTAAAGTTATTTTAAATATTTTTTTAATAATTCATAAAATAACTATACCCTTAACACAAGCTCTTTTCATTAACTTTCACAAATTCTAAAAATTAAAAACTAGCTTTTGCAGACAGTGTGTTATGTTGCCTATCTCATTAGTTATAATTTGATGAAATTTTTCATTCAATTCTTGAATTTATTTTTCTTCTTGAAAGTTATTATTTAATTACTTCTTGAAAGTTATTATTATTTATAAGAAAATTTCAATGTATTAAGCTGTTTTTTTCCCTTTCCCTGTTTTTTTCCCTTTCCCTTATTATATCATAAACGTGATTTTAATTTTGATTTACTTAGCACTTTGTAATTTGAAAAAGGCATTTATCCTTAAAACTTAAGGTGGTTATTTCTTGTATACTTTTCAAGCCTTTTCATTTAAGTTCTAACTTTTAAAACTTCCATTATGTGTACTGAAGATGTTACTCATTACAAAAAATGCACTGTTTGCAACTTGCTACTTCAATCGCCTTACAGCTTCGTAAACTTTACGTGGCCCTGATGATCTTGCTGGAGATTTGACCCTACTTTCTCTGAAATAAATGAAAAAAGTTAAATAAAAACTAATTTTTTGGAAATAGCACAATAAAATAAAAGTATTCAAAATCAGCTAAACAAGTAAACATCATTTCATTTAGAGTCAAAAAGTATTTTGAATGAAAGTTTTTTGAACAGTAAAAACAGCTCTTTATTTTTCTAGTTCATGATTTAAATAATCAAACATATTCAATAATTTATTCAACAGAAGTCAAAATACATAATTTGTAATGTTGTATATCTTCTTCAAATAAGTGAAAAAAAAATAAATAAAGGATATTGATTTAAAAACATGTTTTTTAAATATAATAGATAAGCACACATTTACTCTGACTGCAACATGAGGTTGTATTGTCAAAAATAACTCTCTAAATAAGAGCCTCACAAATATTTTGAATACATTTCAATCTATTTGTTATGTTAAATTTTTTGTTTTGATATTTTTTCATGGTTCTTTTTACACATTTGGTGCAGATATTTTCCCGGTCGCTGGGAGAGGCTTTAATGGTCTCTCCTAAAGGTTTTCTTCAATTATGTACAAAATTCTACGTAAAAAATTCTGTGCCTTCTAAACGCAGTCGCAAATTGAGGTGGTCTTTCCTGGAGGTTTCACTGTAAATAGTCATTAAATCAGTGATATATTGGTAGAAAAAATTAATGTGCTGTGAAAATATTAGCAACAAAAGAATTTTTTTTTATTGAATCTAATGAAGTACTGAACTACACACTTATATTAATGGTTCAGTCAAATTCAAAATTTCATTCAGCTAAGGGGGATTTCCCCCTCCTTCCTAAAAGCATAAGTTCTCGGCGCCTGCCCTCAAAAATTCTTTGATGTAAACGCATGTAGACCGAGTATTTTCATCCAACGTGGAAAATGGCGCTTTCGTACAATCTAAAATAGGAGCCGTGATGGCTCAGGGGACAGAGTGTTCACATTCCAATGAGGTGAACTAGGTTCGAATCCCAGCAATGGCTGGTTGATACGAATTCCGCTTGTAACGACTTTGCATGCCAAAGAAAAATATCCTCAGTGGTAGATGGATCATGGGTAATTCGTGCCTCCCAAAAATGGTCCTAAATAGAGGTTATCTTTCCTAGAAGCTCTCCCGACCAAGCTATGGGGACCATATTTCCCCGATAGCAGTTACCCCATATATTTTTTGTGGGGGATGGGCAGAAATCCGAATCTGCTAAAAAAAGGGTATATGTTTATTCAGAGAAAATGTTTTCGTGTCTGATTTCGTAACTTAAAATACTGTCTACATTAATTATTTAGCATATTTGAGGTTATCTCCTCATACTATTAAGACTGAGTTCTAGAGCGCGAAGATTCAATCAGTAGATCAAAAGTTAATTAGGGTGGTCTGCTTTTTATTTTCCTCCCTGCATAGTGCACAAATTAAAATTTAACATTTGTGCTATAAGAAAAATAATTTTTGAGCAAATGGTCAGATTACAAATATAACGATAGGATATAAATAGTCCATAAGACTTAAATATACTAATTAATTAGTGTGGACGTAAGTTATAAGATCAGACAAAAAAAAAAAAAAAAAAACTTCTGAATATTTTTTAATTGACTTTAAACCTTGACTCTTAAAATATGGGGTGTAGTCATAACCATAGCTGCCAACATGGATAGGAAAAAATCCAGGAGATTTTACGAAATATAAATTTCATGGTAATTGTTGCATAATATACTAAATATTTTACACAGGGATTTTTATAGTTATTAAAAAAGAAAAACTGCAATATTTTCCAGCGATGATTGTGACATACTTATATATATATAGATATATAAAAAAATAACCATGACAAATTAACTTTTTTTTCTTGTTAACTAGTACAGAAAATAATGCAGTTTAAAAAAAAAATTTTTTTGAATTATTTAATTACTTTAAAAAGTACTTTAATAGTAAAATTATTTTTCAATTTTTACTTTTTGTTCTCACCACTCAAAATTTTAAAAAATTATAATTATTATTATTGATTACATTTAAAACTAATCATGACTTTCTTAAATCATTTTCTGCTGCAGAAGAATAAAAAAGTTATATTTAATTTTTATGAATAGCTTTTTTAATGGCTATTTTAAGGTAAGAAATATTAAATTCATTCACACAAGACTTTGTAAAATATCAAATTTGTTCACAAACATGAATAGAAATTGTAGAATAATTTATCATAACTCACCTCACTAATTTTACTCTGTTCATCAAATTTTTTTGATATTAAAAGCAGCAACTCTGTTGCCAAAGTATTATTCTTCGTAACTAACTGCAACCATTCAGGAGAAGATAAAATATTTGTAGAATTTTTTAAGATGAATTCTACCACAAATGATTTCAGTTCTTTTTGATTAACCATATCAGCAATCAATAATACTTTGCATAAGTTGTTATTCGATAAAACAGACATCAAAAACAAAGAACATTTCTTAGCCAGTGATGGTACATCATACTTATCAGCTACAACTAACAAGTTTAAAGCCAATTCTTCATCTATCTTTTTAACTGACCCTGTATAAATATATTCTAAAAAGGAAGAAAAGGTTTTTGCTTCTACATCAACAATATCCACAATACCTGTATTATTTTCTGTCATTTGTTGTTCAAACATCGCAGCGAACACAGGTGATCTACAGGCTAATACATTTTTGTGAGCGGTCATTATCTCATCGTCCACTCGTAACTTAACATCAGTAAATATTTTATCCAAAAGCAACTTACTGAAGTTTTGCTGTAAACAATAAACACTCTCCTCTTCTGAAGTCCTTCCGATTTTGAACAACTCCAGTGATATTGATTGAGTTTCAATATCATACTTTTCATCTGTATAGCAATAATTCATCAAAGAGTGAGCAAGATAAGTTATATAAAACATTACTTTGATTTCATTTTGTATGTTATACTTTTCAATTTCAGCACCAGTGTAGTAAACATTTTTTTCCTCACTAAAATTACATAATGACCTTTCTATTTGTTTTTCTTTCGCAAAGCATATACGCCAAAATAAAGCATGGTGCCTTTTATCATTGACATCACTGACAAGATAAAGCTTACAAAACCCATATCTCTTTGTAATAATCACTTTCACTGTAATGTCTCCAAGCTTTATTTCTTTAATATTCAATGGATATTTTTTTAATCCTTTAGATTCTTTTGACGACCATGTAAATGAGGAATCATACTTAGAAATATTTGTTTCAAGTTTACATCCAGTAACAGCTGTTTTACTTGTTGTCAGCGATAACGAATCATAATCTAGCACACTTTCCATGAGACAGCAAAGAGTAAATGTATCTTCTGGCCAATTAGACATTTCTTGCTTCAAAGCATCAACTGTAATTAGGTCATAACAAGATGAATATTTGAACTCAAAATGTTTTTCAGTGAATAATTCAGACGTTTTATGAACATCGCCTTTGGGACATAACAAATGGAATCGAAAGCTAATAGGATTCTTCAGCAATTTTAGAACCTGTGTTTACAACTTCACAGGAAACAAACTTTGGATTACTAGATTTTAGAACTAATTTCCATTTACTATGATACAATTTTTTAATTTGAAATGAAGGACTCTCGAGCTGCCTTTCGTTTGGAATGCTATTAAATTTTTCAATCTTCCATGTACATAAAAATCTTTGAGTTTTATTGTCAGACATGTTTACACTGGAGTCGATATTTAGCAGACAATTAAACAGCAATACGTAATATTTAAAGGAGAATGAATTAATTGTGATTGTTATCGATCACCATTATACACTTGATCTTGATAACAAATGTAAATGATAACAAATATTTAATATTGAAAGGGCAAAGCGAAACTCAAACTTCGTTCGCAAAACTAGTAATGAGTGTTCTTTTTAGACTGTTTCAACTTTTAAGTTCATTTCTGTCTGAATCTTAGGGTTTATCCTTATTTAACGAACGTTGACGAGTGCACGGAATACTCGTTGCTGTTTTTCTGCAACGTGTAAATTGCAATGAAAGTTGTAGTTTTATACTGTTAGCAAATATGAAAGCCCACCGAATAATTACTACCCGCACTCCCTATCCGGGAGTTTCCTATTCAGCGGTATCTCGCAGTGGACTGATCGTTAAGACATGGTTGCCAGAAGATCACCGAAGTCAAGCATTACTAGCTGCTGTCAGTGTGCGGTTGGGTGACCACTTGGATCAATCTGCGTAGGGACCAAGGGTGTGCGGTATGGGTCCTCGTTAAACTGTTCTATCGTTAAGTGCTCGATTTCCCGTGTAGGTCATTGGGCTACAGAAGCGGGAATGCCATCCTCTCTGTAGAGGATCAACATTGTGATGGCATGTCTTCGGATCATCCTCAGGGATGCTTCCCAGACCGTCGCCAATAGCCCATTGTGCAGCTCTAGTGCGACGTAAATGAATTACAACAACAACCTATTCAGCTGCAGCTAATACTTCATATTGCATCATAATTAAGCAAATAGATACCTTAACATCATTTTCTTCACAACGAACAAAACAGAAACCACAATTTAATTACACTGGACCATCTAGTTCTCGCAGACCTGTATCCAAATCTCCACCTCCAAAAACATCTCGATTGACGTCCCAGAAAAGTCTCGTCCTGTCTTAAAGCAGCGTCCGAATGTAAAGTTGCTACCTAACCCTAAACCAGGCATTCCTAAAAAGAATAATGATCAAAAATTCATACAAATCGTTAAAAAGTCCACATCAGATATTTTGCGGAAGATGGACACTGAAATAACAATACATCCATCGGATAACGAATCGTTTTTCGACAACCCACCAATGGATGTTACGTCTAAATCAAACTTTAAATCAAAAAGGTAAATTTATTTTCGATCATAAGCTTACTTTTTTGCCTTACATAAAGCAATTGCGGAAAAGATGCAAGAGACCCTAAAATATGTTACGAGTGTTTTCTAACACGCTTTGGGGGAGCTGACCGCACTACGCTATTGTGAATTTTCCAACACTTATACTGTCATGCATGGACTATGCATGTATAGTTTATGGTTCTGCTTCGCGACTACAACGCCTTGGTACGGTGCATCACACTGCATTATGCATTTGTAGCGGTGCATTTCGAACTTCCCCCGTGGAATGCTTGCATGCTGTTTGTCATCAGCTACCATTGGATCTACGCAGAATGTAATTGTCCTTAACGCAATACTATCGTATCAGGTCTTTTTACAGTGTTAAGTTACCCCAATAAGTTTAATGCGCCTATATGATTCTCGACCTTCTCTTGTTTGCTCTCTTATAACACGTATGCGTTCACATATTCAAACATTTGAGATTTCAGATTCGCCATCATAATTGGTAGACCACCTATTTATTTCACACTGGACTGTTTCACCATATAATTTTTATTTTCTATTAAAGGTATGTAATAAATCACCATATCACCAACCATATTTCAACAACTTTTCCCTTTTCAAAGTCATTAGTTTTCTCATTATGTCCCGATATATACAGATGACTCAAAATCTTCTATATATGTTGTGTGTGGTGTCATCATTGCGGACTTCACGTACAGCTACCAAATTCCCGAGATTTGTTCCGTCTTCACTGCTGAAGCTGAGCTATCCTACTTGCACTACGACTAATCTCCTCATGCTCTACTGGGAAGTGTTGAATATACTCCGATAGTATGAGCGTTTTGAGTCAATCATAAAAATTTCACTGTGATTCACATAAATTTTATGTTTCATTTGCTAACCACTCTTCAGAAGAATGTCATTGAGATTTTATTTCGCTGGGTATCGAGTCATGTTAGTATTACAGGGAATGATCTAGCTGACTCAGCTGCCTGATCTGCCACATTTGTTTTAATTTTTTTCCATACCTTTCTCTGATAAAAAAAAACTACATATTCGGAAATTGGTGACATCATTATGTCAACAACAGTGCGACCTCAATGTTTTTAAAAAACTGCATAGCATCAAATCCGATTTCAAGCCTTTGCCAGTTTTGCCCTAGCGTAGTGCTGATGATAAGCTTACACATCTATGTATCGGTCACACCCGGTTAACCCACCTCCACTTTTACTGTTTGGAGAGCCTCCTTCTCAGTACTTGTAGCGTTCCTCTCTCGATTAATCACATTTTATTAATATTTCCACCTTTTAACTCGTCTTACCTTTTTCGGTAGTTCTATTTTAACTCTTGAAGATTTGCAAGGTGGCTCCCATCATCCTAACATTTTTGCGTTTTTACGTGCTGTTGGTATTTTTTATTGTTTATAAATGTCTTAATACAGCTACAATTTCATACACTTTTGCAAGCATCTTATCAGCTTCATACCATTTTACTACATGCGTTTTATACCGTACACATACTTTTTATCTGATTTTATTCATCCTTTTATCTGACTCTATTCATCTACTTATACTATTTTATTAGTTATAATAGCGAGGCAAGTAAAGCTTAGTATGCACTTTGACTTTTGAACTGTTTTACCGTATTGTTTGGCGCAGCATGTCCTTTTTCGGATTTTGTGCCACTAAACCCTGCATTCAATTCAATTCATATATCTAACTACTCTGGATGTCCAGCCCGCTCTGGAAGATTTAGATTCATGAAATCTAGCTCCTTCCACCTCTACAGATCCCACATCTTCTGACCATCGCCTTGTGGCTATTATCAAATGAATCCTGGTTCTCATCAAAATTGAAGAAGTCACCAAGATCCTGATCTCACTCTCAGGGAGAACACCAACTCTACTGACTAGTCATTATCCCTTTCTTGCCAACTACTCCCATGATAAACTGAAATGTATTTTCCCCTTCTTCGCACCACTCCTTGCGTAACGAAGAAGTGGAGAATCTTAGTGTTTACTCGAGTGAATTTTAAAATAATCTTGGTTAAGACTATATCAGTAATTTGGATTGGACAAAAGCTGTCACTTTTTCACAGAAACTGGTTGCAGATTTGATGTCAGCGGCGCGAATATATCTAAGATCCGTTCAAAAATCTTAATCAACAGAGGAAAATTGCCCCCCCCCCGTGTTATATTTCAAACGACAAAAGAATTATGTATTTATTAGAGATGTACCTGGTAAACTACCCACCCGCCCAGATTTTCATTACCCGCACGTCGAAAAAGAGTTTTTCAATCGGGTACCGGACTTGGCCAATATTACCAGGTATCCAGGGCCGGTAACACATTTACATCATTTTTGACACAACCAGATTCTAAATTACAGTAACTTTAGAAAAATAAATGTATGGAGATTTTAAGAAGCAACTTATTTTCTAATATGGCTTTATCACTTTTTGCATTGGCATTTTTCCAGTCAGTCTTACGATATTAATAATACGATACTTAATTAGTAATTTTATTTTTGTAGGGTTGTTATGAAATTTTTGCAAGAATTGCAGGTCTCAATTTAAAATTTTTAAATTTTATACATGAAATATTAAGGCCATTTAATTAAAAAAATAACCTCTATACTAAAATCAGTGGCGTGACCGTACCCAAAGGCCAACTGTACCCATCCTAGTTTTTTGACTCTGGCAGATATTCTGATTGCGTGGTTAGCCGAAAGCATGGAGCCTCCAATGTTTAGTCCCTAAATGATGCTTGACTCATTTTATCAAACCACTGAAGGGATAAGTGATTGAGTCAACCTTGCCCTATCCGAGGATGGTTGTTGTTGTTAGTTGGTTGTTGTTAATTTACGTCGCACTAGAGCTGCACAATGGGCTATTGGCGACGGTCTGGGAAACATCCCGGAGGACGATCCGAAGACATGCCATCACAATTTTGATCCTCTGCGGAAGGGATGGCACCCCCGCTTCAGTAGCCCGACGACCTGCGCGCGAAGTCGAGCACTTTACGGTAGCACAGTTTAACGAGGACCAATACCGCACACCCTCGGTCCCTACGCAGACTGATCCAAGTGGTCACCCACCCGCACACTGACCGTAGTCAGTGATGCTTGACTTCGGTGATCTGCTGGGAACCGTCTATCCGAGGATGGAACCTTGGATCTGTGACATGGGAGGGCTAAGCACTCTCACTCAAAATCCGGGCTCCAAAAAGAAACTCTCCCTATTTAGAATAAATCAAAGATATATTCTTTTGACAAGATATGATTCTATTAAATCATTATGCTAACAATTAACCGACAGTTAACTTGATTTTTGATAAGTTCAATATAAATTTTTTAACGTTCTAGTTTATTCATTATAAGCTCAGTTCCGTCGCAAAATTCTGGTATATATTTAAGTTTTAATGATCATTAAGATCACGTCCATTATTGGCCACACGATAATCATAAATTTGAAGAGTCAGATATGACAACTGTATGTATCTGTGGTAATTGAGATTTATAAAAGGCTAGGCCAGTATTTCTCCTATTGTACTATTTCTTATTTAATTATGCGTATTTTATTATGTGTTAAAATAAACATTAGACATCTTGGCCAGATTTTATTGCCACACACGAAGTTTTCGTGCAGGTCGTATATGGCCACCCC